ACNNNGATCTACACGAGTCTCTGTTTCTAAATGGATTATGGACACGAAAAATAACAAAAAATATAGATTACAGTTTTTCGGATACCTGATAATGTCAAAACTTGTCATATCCGTAATGTATTCTTGGTAAAGAGATTCAGATGCATTAACAAACAACGCAGAAACGTTAAGGAGACGTCGTTTCAAACTCTAATCAATTGCTTTGTTTTTTCTTTTCTTTTTCGCATACATTTAAACATTTAGTTTGTATGATTAAATTGGTCAAAGGTTGCACATGACATCTCAGAGCATGATCAATGGTAGTTCTTAATTAGGGGTGTTAAGTGATTTTTTTATTATTAATTGTATTGTGTTTAAAATTAAAACTCCAACATAATTTATGTCCTCCAATGATAGTTGCTATGGAGAGTTCTTAATATTAAAGAAAAATATTACCATGCTACATTCATTCTATTTTAATCAAGAGCATCGGCTTAATTGTACACAAGTTTACAAAACAAACTACTCAATAGAAAATGAAACCTATTCATACACTAAACCAAAAAACACATTAAACTACTCAATGTATAAGAAATGATAGACAAAAACGTCTAATCTTAAAGACAAAACCATTCTGGTTAGGCAAATAAAAGCCTGGACTTGAGAAAAGGTGTATAGAAAACAAATGAAAAATCAAACTAGTGCTTCTTCTTTCCAAAACAAGACATATTGTGCCCAAGGAAGCAGACCACAATGATCCGGACTTTTTTTACTTTATGATACCATAAACGGCTCAAGACGAAGATTTTCGGACCTTTGTACCTTGTGATACCATCCATAAACGGCTTAAGAAGAAGATTTTGAGCTCAGGAGATTCTTCAATGGTTACAAGAGCTTCATTCCGGCACCCGAGTTGTCTGAAAAAAAAAAGAAAACCACTTCATAAGATGCGTTGAAAATGATTTGGGACTTGAAGAATGTATTGGAAGTTATGATATACATTAAACTACTCAATGTATAATCCAGAGCATCGACTTAGTTGTACACGGATTAAACAAAAACTAAGCATATAGCAACATAAACAATCACATGTAACATTCAACACACAAAGAAAACTAACCCTTTTTGGCCTTTTCTTATGCTCTTGACCACTTCCTTTACGTCTCTCTTCAAACATTTCTTTCGAGCAGCTGACAAAAAATTAACAAAACCCATACACAATAGACAAAGGAAAGTTGAATCTGAAAGAAAGATGATAACAAGGTTCAATATAAATCTAATCATATCACTAAAAGAAAGAAAGAGGAAAGTTGAATCCGAAAATAAGATGAACAACCAAATGAATGATATCTATGACAAATTGAAGCAGAAGACTGAAGAACCTTGTTAATCCGTATAGACTGAAGACTGACAAATTAACAAAGAAAACTAACCCTAATTCCGATTACAAGACTGAAGAACCCTAATTTCGATTTCATCAAAAATCTCCAATTTCATTCACATGCAAAAACCCTAAATGAAATTCCTATTTTTGATTCCATGAAATCTCTATAAATTCACATAAATCTTACCATATTGGCCGATTTCAGAGAGTCTCTCTCTATAAATCCGATTGATTGATTCATCTATCGGTGGAGTTGATGAGACACCACAATTGACGAGTTCTCAGACGAATTCTGAGTGATTCAACACT